CTGTCATGCTCAAGTTTCGGAGGGAATTTAACCTTTACCGCTTGTCTCCTGGAGCCGTTCTTTTGCTCATCGCCATTCGGCGCGCTACATGTCTGACGTTTATGTGACACGGTTGGTGCTTCGTTGGGGTTGCGATCTTGTTGTGGCGGAGACGTGCATTACGTGCCTACTGGCCCGCCCGTAGTTTTAAGTGTTTTCACCACACACCACAAACACACACACACACACCACACACACACACACACACACAACACACACCACCACCACACACAACACAACACACACACACACACACACAAACACACACACACACACACACACACACAAACACACACACACACCACACACACACACACACATGTGTCAAAATGTGTCAAAATGTTTAATGTGTCAAATCGTCACTGCGTCTCGAGAAAACGACGCAATCGACTGATCATGACGAAACGCTGACCGAGTAACTACACTGCAACATCACACACCCACACCCACGCCCACGCTCACTCCCACACCCACACCACACCCACACACCCACACCCACACCCACACCCACACCCACACCCACACCACACCCACACACACCCCCACCACCACACCCCACACCCACACCACACACCCCCCCACCCCACACCCACACACCACCCACCCACCCACACCCACACCCACACCCAACACCACCACCACACACCACACACACACACACACACACACACACACACACACACACACACACACACACACACAACACACACACACACATATATATATATATATATATATATATATATATATATATATATATAAATCACACTTTTCGACTAGGTTGAGGCATTTAAGATCGTCCCTTTATAGCCCGAAGTCCTCTGCGTTGAGGCTTTGCCTGTATGTTCAGTTGCCGGGCATGCTGCTGTCGCGATCCGACCGAAGCTCCCTTGAGAAGTGTTGACCAATACGATTTTGCGTCCACCGGGTTTCATTAGAAAGTCAAGGAGACAACATCTGGCATCTGGCAAAATAAAAGAAGCACAAAACTACAGGGCTTTATCTATTCCAGTCCCAGAGCTTTCGTGCAAGGTCAGTCACGAAGGTGGAAGCGACTGTAAACACGTAACTGTTGTGGAACGAGAGTGTAAGAAAACAACTCTCGCACTCGGGCCGGCGGTGAAAGGCAAGCACAACTGGGCATTATCAGTTTTCACCTATTTCAGGGTATATGTAATACATAGGCATGTGATTCCTGGCATGTCGTGCTTCAGCCGCCTCAAGCTGCCTTCCATCCGGCTTTAACCAAGGCACTGGACTGAAGACATTGAACACACTCGGACCACCCTGGCAATGGCGCCAGTGGTCATTTGAATGCGTCTCAGGATCAGCGAACAAATCAACAACCTCCACGAGGTAGATTTGACTGAACAGAAGCCAGACGACGTGGCCAGCGAGGAAAATCTTGAAAAGGACGGTTCATTCTCTGCACTAAGAGAAGTGCTGAAAGATATGGCGCTGTATCAGCTGCTCCTGGCATATGCTTTAAACAAATTTGCCTTCGACATCCCTGTGGAAGGCATTTGGCCAAACGTTCACCAAAGACGATCGCTTCCTCGAGCTTATTGGTTCGGGTTCCTCCATCTGCAAAATGCTGGGTAGCATAACGTGGGGATCCCTGTGTGACGCATTCAGCTACAAGCTAGTCATGCTTTTGCTGACAGGTTTGTTCTGCGCCCTTATGTATACTCTACAGGCTATACCACGGGGTGGTGAGGTCATGTACCTCACCTGGGTTTGGGGCATATCGTTTTGTTTTCGGGAACAATGTCAGTCGTTGTAACTGCCACAGCAGACACATTCGGCCAGGAGAGCGTAGGTCAAATTTACGGCGTCATCTATCTGGTCGGAGCACTGGCCTCACCCCTACCCGACCTGCTGACTAATCTTCTGCTGGACAGCTACGGCTACTCACTGATGTTCCTTCTCGGGGGCATCGCCGCCACTGGAGTCTTTGCATTCACGCTTGCATTCAATAAACGTTCGGCACAATGCATTTCTTGACCTTTGGGGTGCACGACGGTGGTTGCATGGCGAGCCGCGCACTTGTGCGACCCTGCAGTTGCCATCTGGCAGGGCTGGCATAGTCTCCTCACGTGGCAGCCACACAGTTGCACGTGTAGTTGTAGTAAGACGTGAGCCTTTTGTTGTTATGCTGCATGTATGTTTTGAAGTATGTTGGTAGAATAAGTTTATGGTGCCAACACACAAATCCACTTCACCAATAGATGGCAATCATCTATTCAAGTACACTGAAACTGCAGGCATTGTTTCTTGGTCTCCCTCGCGGGACATCCAGATCGCGAAATGCCGGTGTTGACCGCCTCAGCGCAGAACAGTTCATACGATTCCTTCCTTGGGCCGGGATCCATGTCGTGATAGCCTCCGTGCGGCCGGCGCGCCGACGCTCGACATGTCGGCGGCACCAGCTTGCCACGCTCCGACATGTCCGGCAGGTGCCGGCCCTGCAAAATCGGCATGTCGGCAGCGCCCAGCTTGCGACGCTCGACATGTCGGCGGTGCCGGCTTGTAAAAAATCGACAGGCCAGCGGCGCCGGCTTGCGACGCTCAACATGGTCGGCGGGGTTCAGCGATGGCCACTGAGCTGGCGTTCTCGTCAATGCGGTGTCAGGTAGCCCCCCTCGGTAAACGACACGCCGGTCGCCAGCGGGGGCTGAAGTTATCCGGGTCACGGCTGGCCTATTCTAATGGAGAGGGGATATTCGGAACTGTGCTCGCTGTCGGGAAGTGACCTGTCGATGTTCGTTCGCAGCGTGGCCGCGAAGCGCCCGGGCATGTGCGCGAGGTGATGATGAATTGTCCGGTGGTGGGTTGGTGATGGGGGGTCGTCTGCTGGTGAGGCCATTGGCGATGGGAATTGCTTGGTGGTGGGATGATGATGGATGGTGCTGGTTGCTTGGTGGTGCAATGGGAATCGTCCGGTGATGGGTCAAGAACAAGTGGGAATTCTCCAGTGATGAGGTCATCAGCAATGGGGATTTTCCAGTTATGGGTCATCGGCGATGGGGATTTTTCGGTGGTGGGCCATTGGCTATGAGGGCTATCCGGTGGTCGGGTCATCTACGATGGAATTGTCCGGTGGTGGGTCATTTGCAGTGAGGATTGTCCGGTGGTGGGTCATCCGTGACAGCCGGTGCGACAGCAGGCAGACCGTTCTTCACCCGGACAACCTGTTAACATTACCGACAGATTTGCACCGTTGATACACAAACCTCGGTACGACATGTCACCTCGGTTCTAATCTGATCAGGTCTGAGGACAACCTCGTCTTTAAATCACCGTGACAATTGAAACAGCGCATGCAGCGTCACCATACTCTCCATGCTGAGAAAAGGTTGGCAAGCGATGCGTCATGCTCTAGGGCTCACGAAAGGTGAGCAGTCCTCAGGCCTCAAAAGACAGGAAAACATGTTCAAGATGAGAGCTGGTCCAACGCCTCAGCGGTGCGCGGCCGATACTCCCGATAGCGACATCGGACCGTGACCAGAAACCCAGTGACCCCCGGGCCGGCTCCCAATTACGTCCAATGTAATAACAGTGGCCTCAAAAGCTCGTCTCCGACTCGACCAGGGCACGCTCCTGACTAGGGTCGATCGAGACACGACCCTGAATCAATCAGAGAACGTCCCGGATATGATCGGGACACGACTCTGACTTAGTCAGAGAACATCCCGGATAAGATCGGGGCACAACCTTGACTCAAGCAGAAAATATCCCGGACAAGATCGGGACACAACTCTGACTCAATCAGAGAATGTCCCGGATAAGATCGGGGCACAACCTTGACTCAATCACAAAATATCCCGGATAAGATTGGGACACGACTCTGACTCAATCAGAAAACGTCCCGGATACGATCGGGACATGACCCTAACTCAGTCAGAAAACGTCCCGGATACGATCGGGACACGACACTGAATCAATCAGAAAACGTCCCGGATACGATCGGGACACGACCCTGACTCAATCAGAGAGCGTCTCGGATACAATCTTAGTCACCTTTGAACATTGACGCGCACGCGTCGTTGATACCCACCATACTGCGTCACAGATGGCCTTAAGTGGAGCATGGTACCTGGCTGTGAGCTCGTGTGTTTCAGGTGTGATACCAGTAAGTGACATTTGTTTCTCCGCAAAAATCGGCTTGAGAGATTGCCCAAATGTGCTCATACCTTTATCGATTGTATTTTATCAAGTTTTTCTTCGTAACGCTACACCGCTAATGCGTCCATGCAGAATTCCCAGTTTCTCAATCTACGATGATTACGATAATTGGCGTTTCAGAGTGCGCCGCCGTCGGGGTTCTTTTGCGCCCAGTACAACATCGCCAGTTGCTACGACGACTTGTATCACGCGTGCGCGCCAACAACCTGTGAATTTGTTCTCTCTAGCTCTGTTAGAGATCTCAGGGGGTCAAAATGACCACCCAACCGAGCGAAGGGTGCCCAACCGGCCATTCGGGCGCGTGATATCAGTTTTGCTTCACAGATTTGGCCATGAGTAGGTAAGCAAGCTTTGGCAAGCTTTACACGCGAGTGCATATGCTTACAACATGAGGACTTGCGTTCAGCCGTTTTCGGTCCTCAACGGTTGAGCTCGCTCTCTCACCTTTCTCAGCCTTTTTCTCACCGGCTAAGAGTGCGCGGAGATAACTAGCACGGGACAACGAAGAGGTGATCATCCTCTGGCAAAGACCAAGGACAAGTGTACACTGCGCGCATAGGCATACCTGATGCGTGCAAGGAGTTTGCGTCCCTACCCATCCTTTGTGCTCTTTTACCCATCGCGTTGCGAGAGGTTGGGAGCAAGCGAAGCTGACGCAGTGACTGCCCCGTACCCGGGATAAGGCTGGCAATATGGCCATGCTGCAACTTTTTCCGTGTGTTGAAATGTCCGCAGCATGTCGAAATGTGATGACAACCCCGCAGGGATTCCCCAATATGTTGGGAAACCTCGCCTCGTTCCACCGCAGCCCGGTGGTCGTCACAAAAGGTGGGCCTTCCGCCCACCTCGGTGGAAAATTCGGATATGAAGCCTCGCAATGACCATCTCGGTGATGTAGAGCACAATAAAGCAAAGCGAATGCCTCAAGAATGGTCGGAAGGGGACACCACATCTCAAATCAAGGCCACATCCAATAACAGGAGGGACGCAGCTCGGCCGGCCGGCGACGTTTCAAGCCTCAAAATGATGACGGAGGCTCAGCCGGCGTCCTCGCTTTTTGGACGAGCGCAGGGAGGCCTGGACTGGGCTGCCAAGGTAGGCGATCATGGGGCGTTCGTGCGGCGATTCCTGAGGAGAAAGGACGCCCGTTCTGAAACGGGCGACATCTCCTTGCCCCGGGGACCGAATTGAAGGCAGAGCGTGGATGCAGTGTGCCCCCAGCATCTCTAGTAGCTCATTCATTGTGGAAATCCATCTATTATACTCACATAATATTCATATATACACTCGGTATCCCACCCATTCTATCATACTCATTATTTGTACCCGCATTGCCTTTCACTTTCTCCTCAACCACATCACCGCGGACACTTGTTGACTGCACGAGAGAGGAGCGCGACTGGTGTTACCTCTGCCCCGTGCGTGAGCGATCATGTGATCGCGGCGTCACGAACAAGACGAGGTCCGGTGCTGGCGCCGGGAGAGGCGAGAAACATAGGGACGGCAGGGAAGCTACTGAGGTCGGCTTGTTGTACTCGATGGCTGGCGACTGCCTGTCTCATCAGACATGTGTTACTGTCCTGTCTGGTCGAACGGGATCCCTCATGTTTGTCAGAGCAACCGTCCCTCTTCCTGTCGGTATGAACAGCTATTACTCTCCTGCCTGTCCGAACAGCTATTCCTTTAAGCTGTCTGCCCAGCTAGTCATTCATCTCCTGTCCGTGCGAACAGCTATTCCTCTCTCTGTGTAGGCCAGCCGCCCCTCATTTGTCCACCTGGATAGCTGCCCTTCTTATGCTTTTTTAGACTGAGCTTCATATTCTGGCTGTCTGGCAAACTGCCTTTTTCCCGTTTGCTTACACACCTGGCCAATTCCTATTTCTTAAAAAACTTCCACGCTTCTATCCGTTTGTACAGCTGTGGTTCTCCGAGCTGTCTGGACGGCTGTTTTCTTCCTGTCCGCGTCGGACAGCTGTCCCTCTCCCGCATGTCCGGCCAGCTGACTGTCCGTCGTCTGCTGGCCGCCGACTGCTCGGCTGGCCCGGGTCGATAGGACGCCCCGCCACCGCCGCTCCCGTGACCGGTCTCCGGCCTCAACAGCGCCGGCGACGGCCGTCCGACCAAGGTTCGACACCCAAGGGCGCACCCACACCCGGAAAGGCGCTGAAACCCGCCGACACAGCAAAGCCCAGAGAGGCGCCGACGCCCGGAGGCGCGCCGGCACCCAGAGAAGCACCGACACTCGGAGGCGCACGGGCACCCAGAGAAGCACCGACACTCGGAGGTGTGCGGGCACCCAGAGAAGCGCCGACACTCGGAGGTGTGCGGGCACAGAGAAGCGCCGACACTCGAGACGCACCGGCACTCAGAGAAGCACCGACACTCGGAGGTGTGCGGGCACCCAGAGAAGCGCCGACACTCGGAGGTGTGCGGACACCCAGAGAAGCGCCGACACTCGGAGACGCACCGGCACCCAGAGAAGCACCGACACACGGAGGCGCGGGCACCCAGAGGAGCACCGACACACGGAGGCGCGCCGGCACCCAGAGAAGCACCGACACACGGAGACGCACCGGCACCCAGAGAAGCACCGACACACGGAGGCGCGCTGGCACCCAGAGAAGCACCGACACACGGAGGCGTGCCGGCACCCAAGAAGCACCGACACTCGGACGTGTGCGGGCACCCAGAGAAGCACCGACACACGGAGACGCACCGGCACCCAGAGAAGCACCGACACACGGAGGCGCGCTGGCACCCAGAGGAGCACCGACACACGGAGGCGTGCCGGCACCCAAAGAAGCACCGACACTCGGAGGTGTGCGGGCACCCAGAGAAGCACCGACACACGGAGGCGCGCTGGCACCCAGAGAAGCACCGACACACGGAGGCGTGCCGGCTCCCAAAGAAGCACCGACACTCGGAGGCGTGCCGGCACCCAAAGAGCACCGACACTCGGAGGTGCACCGACACCCAGAGAAGCACCGACACCCGGAGGCGGGCCGGCACCCAGAGAAGCACCGACACACGGAGGCGGGCCGGCACCGAAAGACGCACCAATACCCTAGCCACGCGCAACGCCCTGAAACAGGGCTCAAGAGGCGCGCCGACATACTTCATTGTACGAACACCTCAGCGAGGGGCCGACACCACAGCACAGTGCAGACATACCAGCGGGGACAGTAACAGGTCACATTGTTGTGCGTCACGTGCGCTGGTCCCATTGTTAACTCATCAACGCATCATCACAAACATCACATCAACATTTACAAGACACATCGACACGTCAACATCCCAGAGGCAAATTATTTTACTGACAAAGACGAACATCGGGCGATGAACCAAGACCCCAGCGACAGGGGAACAGTCAGAGAGACACATCAACACTCCAGCGACAGGCCAATAGTCAGAGATACACCAACGCTCCATCAACAACCCAACAGTCAGAAATGCACCAACACACGAGCGACGCACTGGTGCCTCAGCGACGTTCAACAATGTGTTGGCACTCACACGCAGTTAATGTTAGCTCAGCACGGTACGCTATGGCACGTCGGGCCAAGGCAGTACACTCGACCACCGCGTACCAAGCCGGCAGTTTCGGTCGCGGTGGCCAAGACGTCCGGTTGGGCAGACTTTCAGCCCCTGGGTCGTGCACGCAAGGATGTTGGAGGTTGAGTTGATCGCCTTTGATGCGACTCTCAGTGCTGTGAGCATATGACACTCAGGATACCCTTACCCTTATTCACGGGTAAGGGTTTCTCGCCTTCATCCACCCGTTTTGCGAGATATTTCATCCTCTCCTCGCCCAGCCTGCCATCCGTCCCAGTCTTACGTTTTCGTTATGCGCCTCTTTTCCAGAGATCCCACTATAAATTATAAAACACTTTTGCTCCCACCCGACAGCGCTTCGCGCAAGCAAGAGCTGGTGGCAGGTGTGCAGCTATCCCCCCCCCGCCGTCTCAGAACTGAACAGAGCTAGAAAAAAAAATGTAGCATCGTCGGATGGCCGGTACAATTCTGAACAGGACTTGAGGAGGGCATCTTTCCGGACTTCCGATCAAAGTCGCGGTCTGCTCCTTGCTATAGCTTACATCCCATCACGAACATGATCCACGCTGTCATGTTATGATGCGTGAAGTGCCACCACAGCGAAACGCTGAGATCCAAGCGCCCCCCCCCCCCCCTCTCCACCTCTCACAATGCAACGTGTCTAGTTCCCGTCGGGGCCAGTGAACCCGCGGCACACGGATCACCCGTGCGATCTGGCAGCTGAAGTCGGCTGCCAACTGCGGACGCCCTGCCCGATAGCGCCACTCAGACGCCTCTCAGCGGTCCGGGTGTGCTGGAAGTCTTTAGGGGAATCGTTCGGTTGGAAGAGAAAAGTTTGAAGGGTTAGAAGAGTAAGAACTCGAAGAATTTGATTGGATGGCGTTTAAAGAAACGTTTCGATCTGCTGTCCCGGTGCAACATTCTAAATAGTTACCTCTGAGATAACCATTATTTTCTTGAGCTACATTGAACTTGGAAAAATTTGGAATTGGTCCTGGTCTTTCACGCAGAATTGGAGTTCTGGTCTTGTGATAGACAGAAAATAGTTCACAATACAGTGTTCTTTATATTCACGTTGATGTCCCCAAATACAAGAGATGAGTGTTTATGGATTACAATTTTTAAAGATGGGCATTGAGACTGGAATCTCTATTTACAGCTAAGTATATCATATACATTGGTCTAAGTAAGAAAGGCTTTCAGCTCATTCTTTGTCGGTATTATAATTCAAAATTTTATGCCGAGTTGCGACCTTCAATGTACCAATGGCGAAACAATGTTATGGAGCAAACGCTGGTTGCAATGACAGTACCCAGCGGTTCATGTTGTTTTATGATCACACGCGATCATCAGCACATCGTCCAAAAATCATCCATCATCCATCACATCATCCGAAGCTGTGTTACGTTGGACCCGCAGCGCGCAGCATCACCAGTGTATCCCCGGCTGAAACAGCGGGAAGACTGGTGAGATGTCACCTCCAGCGGGGATAGTTCCTGGGGTGCTGTGCATAGGCTTTGCCATACGTCGGGTTTCACAAGCCTTGAACGGGAGAGGGGGGGGAGGGGTGGCGTCATTGGTGTCGCGACTTCAATGTCACGCAATCGCTACCCGTGGGACGCGACGCCGGAGGACAGCCTGAGCGTCGTAGACCCTCGCACGGATGATGAACAAGCTTTTAGCGGGAGGTGTATATCACCGTCGAGGCGATTACGTAGAATGTAATGACACATATGATAATGTGCTTTGGTGTAGATATATGAAATACTTGGTAATGAAATACTATCGTCAGGTGCCATGCAAAAGCATGGGGAGTGTAAACGTACACACGGAACTTATACGAGATAGTACAACAGAACATCGGGCTCTATTCGTATGGATAATGAGCAAACTGTTTGCAGTAGGTTTGTGGACCCGCGAGCCAGTCGCGGATAATTTAATTCCAACTGTGATGGTTGTGCGCATGCAGCCAGCCACTACAATGAAACGGCATGGAATTAAAAAAAGACTTACGCCAAAAATGCTGCAGAGATGGGCCGTCAGGATATCGGACTGCCTTCGTAACAACAATAAACAAACTGTTGGGAATGGCTACATGGAACCGAATGCGTATGGCTGCAGGAACCGAATGCGTATGGCTGCAGGAACCGAATGCGTATGGCTGCAGGAACCGAATGCGTATGGCTGCAGGAACCGAATGCGTATGGCTGCATGGAACCGAATGCGTATGGCTGCAGGAACCGAATGCGTATGGCTGTAGGAACCGAATGCGTATGGCTGCAGGAACCGAATGCGTATGGCTGTAGGAACCGAATGCGTATGGCTGCAGGAACCGAATGCGTTATGGCTGTAGGAACCGAATGCGTATGGCTGCAGGAACCGAATGCGTATGGCTGCAGGAACCGAATGCGTATAACTAATGGGGAGTATGATGATATGCTACTGCAAATGCTGATGCTCAGCGGTTAAAATGCAATCAGCGTCCGCGTAAATAGCAAAAGGTGCACCGCGCGGATTGTTGAAGGACAATCCGCTGAACGAATGAACATCTGAGGTCCATTCGATGAATATTTGACTCCCTCCTCACCAGAGACAAGTAGATTACGAATGCTAGGTGCGTATATCCGCAAAACTGTTCAGGTGGAATTAAATGGCAAGGATGAACATGTGCTCTGTGAGCTTACATTTAGCAACGCCCGTTAAACCCAAGTGGCGTTGTAAGTGAATACAGCCACGCAGATGCGTGTTTACTACCGAGGGGGTGTGAGTAAAATTTATTAAGTTTAGAATGCATACCATGGACCTTAATTGGAAAAAGTGGCGAATATGACTATCGCCCCCTCTCCCCTCCTCAGCCCCCAACTAAAAAAAACACTTCCGCTGCCCCTGTGTCTATGCGGGAGCCGGCCTAGCGCGCTATGCCGAGCGCCGATCGTAAATTGTTTTTAATAGATTAAGTAGAAAAGTGTTCCGGCAAGCTACATTAAACACGGAAACCCAATCTTTTGATACGAGGCACACATATTACCGTGGAAGGCTGAGGTGATGACGACCGACGCCAAAACATAGCACACCGGCTCAGCTAGCCATGAACCCGGCTCACACATGTACGCGTGTTGAGCACAGGTTGTTTAGACCCCTTTGTCCTGGCCCCTCTGTTGCCATTTACCCCTTTGCCCCTTCGTGCCTCTTTCTCTCTTATTTGGACATGCTGGTCAAAGCAAACCTTGGTCAGCGGTGGAGCAAGTGTTATTATTGAAGCGCACATGACACTCGTGTAAAACACACAGAGATTCATCCGTTAACACAGCAAACATTGTTTTGACTAAAACGAGTTATCATAGATACATATTGCGTTATGCACCCCCAGTTTGGCTATCCATAATTATACCCGCATGCTACTTTGACATTGAATATAACAACACGCATAAACGCCTCAAGATACGTAACCATAGATGGCTCGGACACTGACGGTGATGCTAGCGGCAGACAGACAGGGACCGGACAGGGACATTGAAACCTGGACAGGGATGCGGACACTGTTGACGCCGCGCACAGGTGCGAAGTAAGGCGCGGCCAGCACCTTCAGACAAGCAGACCGAGCACGGCCGGATGAGGCTGGTCACACGGACCAGTGCAACGGCGGCGTGTCATGCGGCATAACGGACCGTGCACGGCGGGGATGTAGGCGGAGTACGAACCGTGGCACGGCTGGATGTAGGTGTTACGGACCGTGCACGGTGGATGTAGGACTGGTACGGACCGTGCACGGCGGGGATGTAGGCTGATAGCAGACCGTGCACGCCGGAATGTAGACGAAGTACGGGACCCGTGCACGCAAATCATGGCGCAGGAAAACTGCGGGGCAGGAGGCAACAGATCAGGCTCGCCACGCTCACCGCTCACTCGCGCCACCGGTAGCGGCGCGGACCACTGCGTGTGAGGTCACGTAAGATAGAAGTGCATTGTAATGACTGGCCGCTGAAGGTTGCCATGTACACCATCAATACCAGTCGCTAAATTTTGCGCAATCGATTCGCTGTCATAAATATTGTTCGTTGTCGGTACGAAGACAGCCCTACGTTCTTCTGCCGATCATATGGCGAAAAGGGCCTCGTATGTACGTCTTCACTGCTCAGGCCGGTTGCACCTTAACACGCGCCCGGGTGGCCGCTTGGATAGGTACCCTTCGCCCGGGCAGGGAGTCAACCTGACCCCCCTGAGATCTCAGGACAAAAAAGAGAGCTGGAGACACCAAATTCACAGGATGTGCTCACCTGCACGTGAACTCAATTAGGTGAGGGTTTGCAGGTTCCTAGGTCATGACCTTCGGTTCAAATTAGGTCAAACAAGGTCAAATTCCAGGTTGGTTTCCAAGGAACCCCTAGAACCTAGATAATTGCTCTAAGCACAACGTCACATGCTCATCCAAGGTCGGCGAGCTCGTTCGATCTTTTGAAGGTCATGGTGAACAAAATCATACAAGACCACTTCGAGTTTTACATTTGCATAAAGCGACAAAGATTACGCTATGCAGTGTTTCCTAAACAAAAATGTTGATCTTGGCCATTCTAGGTCAGTGACCTATTCTGACATTTAAAAGCTATATGGAAGGTGTATAATGCGGTTCCTGTCATCAATAAATTGGAAATGATCACCCAGGAACTACCCCATACAGCAAGCGCCAAAGTAATAAAAACAAGATGGTTTTGACCTTGGTCTGAACTTCATGCCAGTCCTTAGATCAATGTACCTTTGCTCAATGAATTGTTGTGTTGCCGAAGACACTATCTCAGAGATGTTTGGCTTCGTCCTAACGCTACGTTGTTAGCTCAGATTGAACGATTCCTTAGAAACTGCCTTCGCTGAAACCATGGCCCTTTCTTTGACCTGCTATGGGTCAGCGACCTTACAATGTTCATCATCATTTCTGACGTCAGACGATTTGTTGCTCAATAATCTACAGGTTTTTGGTTTATTTATTATTATTATATTTATTATTTATATTATTTATTATATAAATACCTATTATTTATACCTAACCTAACCTATTATTTATATCATTTATTATTATATTTGGCAAGATTTGGCGCGGCTACGCCGCGCCGAGCGAAACCATTCTGGGAAAACCTTCAGCGGGGTCGATTTGACGCCCACCCGAGAGCGTGCTAATGGTGTGGCGCATAGGCTTGAATAGCACGGTATCACATTTATTATGAAATTATCCGTAAGCGGCTCGCTGGTCATATGCACGTTCAGATAGCAAATTGTTCATTAGCTGCACGAATGCTTCGATGCTCCGCTTGCCACTCAGCAGTTCGTCTGGCGCCTAGCGGCGCACCGCGCGTTGAGGGTCTCGGCATCAGTGACACCCTTTTAACGTGAAGCGGAGATAAGGCGAAAGTCATCAGACGGTTTTACCTCTTTTATACGGCCTCGATAAGGCCATCTTCTCGTTTTTGCGGGGCGGGGTTTTGGTGCGATGTGATTCGGTTCGGGGGTGGGTGGTGTGAGTGTCATTTTGATGCGTAGCGATCGCTCCGTTACGTGTGCCCCGTGCGTCATGTAGAAGGGGACGGCGTACGTCGGCTGACACTTGGTGTTGATTGCTAGCGAATATGCGGAGCGCTGCTAGCTTCTGGATGTCTCGAGACTTATCGTGCTCCAACATAAATACTTAAGCGGCGGATGCCTATGTTCTGTTAGAGTGTGTTCTGTAGGGTGAATTCTGCAGAAAGCACTGCCAATTATCCAGGATG